GTCGATAAAATTGTTATTTTTAGTATATAATTTAAAAAGTTTAGTTATAGCAGAATTATAATTTGTAAAAATTTTAATTAAACAATTAATAAAATTGCAAAATTTTATTAAAATTAGATTTTGTTTCAAAATAATTTTTAATTACATAATTTAATAAATTTAGCATATTTAATTACTGTATTATGCCAAAAATTAAACAGTAAAAAATTAATTATGCATCTTCAAATTGTTCCTGGAAGCCGTGGTTTTTTACCGGTAAACCCTAATTTAACACGCCCTTTTTTAGGCAGCTTCACTCCACGGCGTCGTTTCAACATCTTCCCCAACTGCGACTTCTTCCGCCCATGAATTCCTGGCTTTGATTTCTTCGAATGCTTCACGTGCCTCATCAATCCTTCTACAAGTGCATGAAAGTGCCCAACCTGATGCTTACGTGTCACGCTATTAACCGTTGAGTTTCTGGGTTTATCAATGGCTCCCTCACGCTTCCCTCTGTGGCCAAACATCCCGTGCACGTACTTCCACTTGGATCTCCTGTGGCCTTCTCCTGCATCTTCACCGCCATGATGATGGTGGTGGTGGTGGTGGTGATGGTGATGGAAGATGAACCCAAGCTTGTTCTTCAACCTTCTCAACCGTCCGATTTGACCTGATGATCTGTGTGCTTGAGTACGACCCACATCTCTACCACTACGACGATTCTCATATGAAAAGCTTCTCCCTTCCGACTCTGAGCTACTCGGATTAGACGCCTCTGCAGACTTTCTTGATGGGGATTCCGTGCTATAACTATCATAGCCACTGATGCTCGTTTCCCGACTTGTCCAGCTCGAGGAAGCAGACGGTGGGATCGAACTGGTAGCGGTAGTAGAATTAGTCTCCTCTGATGATTCTTGATGACATGGCAGAAGCTTGCGTCGTGGGCCAATTGGCTTGATCATCTTACATGGAATGCTTTGATTCTGAACAAGCTCAGCGGGTCTGAAGGATCTTGTTGAATGAGGTCTTGATTTCACCATGACTCCACGTGGTTCTTTCCCAGCAGGACTGGGTCTTGTACAAGGCAAAGGAGGTCGTCTATGTGAGAAATCATTGGGACATGGTGGAAGCCTTAACCCATGAACATTTTGGCCACTGGACTCATTAACTCGCTGCCTCACCAGTTCATTCCTGATGTAACTCGCTTGTCGACTCACCACCTTACTTTTATCTGAAACAGAATCAGCAAATTGACTCAGTCGGTTCTTTTTAACTACCCCTTGTTCTTTCTGTATTACAGGCATATCTGAACTAGACATAGCCCGATCAGAGCACAGCTGCAAAGCTGAAATCTGGAATTCAATTCGATCAATTGCATTAGCAACTTGTTTCAACAAACAATTTGACTCTGCTTCTGATGATATCTTCTCAGCAACAAACCCAGTAGCCTTTCTAGAACTTGAGGAACAAGCAGCTGAACAGCCAGTACTTTTCTTGTCCCTGCTCAGAAACAAAGGACTGAATGCCTCATTCTCAGACAATAAGGAGCATTGGTACTTTTGCTGAGAATCTGGCCAGACTTCTGCTGCTTCTTCTGGCTTTCCTTGATATTTTTGGGTCTATTCCCTGATTTGTCTGAGGAAAAACTCATTAGAGATAAAACCTCTGCAGGCGC